TTCCCTCCCTGAAGTGGGAGGGAATTTTCTCACTTAGTGAGACAGAATTTCGTATGGAAGCCTCCATTTCATTCTTTTAGACATTGATCCTGATACCTCATCCTGCAGGTTCCAGAATTTCCAAATGGATTTCTTTGATTGTGCTTAACTGATTTTTTTTTCATATTGTTCTCTTAACTATACTGAAAGAATGTTATTAAAATTAGTTGTGAAGACCCAAGTCATTTGCTTTAAATCCTTCCTGTTTTATTGCTTTAGTAGGGTGAGTTCTTGAGTAGGTCCTTCTAGATGCTGTTTGTTTACTTATGAACATGGCTAGCAGATGACATTAGGTTAGGAACTTTTGCTTGAGACTTAACATGAATGTGCTTCTGATTCCTGCTCTATAATGCAGATGTGTACCAGTAGTGTGATGTGAGACTCTTTCTGTGTGGTAAAAATGACATAACTTAATGGTATTTCTGGCTTTTCTTTTTTTCCTTTAACCAGAGGAAGGAACTGAAAGGAGAGAATAACTCTTCAAATCCTGTGACTCCAGTCAAGATTCCCGATTGTCCAGTGCCTGCTGCCTTGCTAGAAGAACTGTTGAAACCATCGACAGCTGTGAGCAAGGAGCCTTTAAAAAATCTGAACAGCTGTCTCCGGCAATTAAAGTATGACCTGTTATTTTCAACCATATTAAATAATCTTAAAAATGTTTCCAAGAAACCAGCTGCCTGCCTAAGGAAAAAAGGATTTGTAAAATGAATTCTTTTCCTCTTATTGGGACTATATTTAGGACAGTAAGATGTTCTGTCACTGTAAGTGCTTGCTTATATGAAAGAAGCCTTTACAATAAACTAGACAAAATGTCCATGCTACATCGTACACAGCAGAACAAACCAGAAGCAGTTATTTCTAGTTGTTCTTGCTGATGGAAAAGCTGGCAGTTCTCTTCCTTCACAGCATCAGAAGGGCTGCTTCTGATAGGAGCCCAGGCAGTGTGTTAGTAAGAAATCTCTACAGAGGAAGTTCATTCTGCCAAAAATATGTTTTCAGATCTTCCTTTACAAGATTGCACATGAGATTCTGAGCAGGGAGAGCTACAACTTCAGGAAGACGGGCAGTTCAGGTTATTAGGAGAACTGAGCTGCTATTGTCACCTCAGTTGATGTTTGAGGGAAGTGAGCCTGTGATAATGTTCTGTGATTCTGTACTACCAAACTCGTTGCTTTGCTAAGTTGGTGTCTGACTAAAGTCATAGTGGGTTTATTTAGTTATTTTTCTGTGCTGGTTTCCTCGCCTCTACCTCCCATGATGTCCTTTATACCTGCAAGAGTACTACGTTCATCAGGTTACAGTCACTAAGTGCCTTTACTGAGGAAATGGTGCTGCATCATCCCTGGCAATGAGTATGTGCAGCAAAGGAGCTGCTGCATTGTGGGCCCTTATTTTTGAATAAAGCATACTGTATTTGTTTTGCTCTTAAATTAAAGACGATTCCCAAGCTTTCTGCAGACTTCTTGCTCTTGTACGAGCTATAGCTTAGATAGTCTTGGAGTAGGTATCAAGAATCAGAAAAGTAATTTTCTGATCTTGCATTTAGCAGTTAGCTTTCTGCTTGTTAATTTTTGCTTTTTTGTTCTCAATACTTTCAAAAGGCAAGAAATGGACAGCCTTCAGCGTCAGATGGAGGAACACACCATTACAGTACATGAATCAATGTCTTCGTGGACTCAGATTGAGGGGCAGCTAACGGACCTTACCTCTACCAGTCCTGCAACTGCATCAGACCATTTTTTGCTGTAGATGGAAACAAACAGAATTGTAGTGTTAGTGACAAGGAAGCTTTGACGCTGTAATGTCCTTACCAGTTGTCTTTCTTCCTATTGCTTTAAGTATGTAAACAGATCTTTATGAAAATTATTTATTTCATTTTTAAAAATGGTGTTCAGAGTTGTGCTTTTGCCTGTAGAAGCAAAGAGCATGGTTTTGAGAAACTGGTGTAATATTAAATGCAGAACATGCTATTCCAAGGGTTTGTTTGAAACCTTACCGTAATAATTCTTAATGTTGGGGACTGCCAGGTGGTAAATCTAGCTCATTTTGGGGTTTAGTAAGAGATTCAGATGGAGGTTTAAAATGAGGTCAAGAGGAGCATCTGGTTCCAGGTCTGTATTTGTTCTATCTGGGTGAGTTTGTTAAGGAATGACTGTTAATTATGTAACATCTGGGTTTTGGTGGTTTTTTTTTTTCATTTGGGGGGGGTGGGGGAGTGTTGTTTTCCCCCATCTTCGGTTGTATCCAAATCACAAGGAAAAATAAGTTCTGCTCATGTTCAGCCATTAGTGGTTAAGAACTGGATATTCTGAGCATCCTCTCTCCTCCCTCCTGTAAGCTCTTATTATTGAAATTCAGATTACAGATATCTGAAATTCTGATTTCAGATATCTGAAAAAAAACTCATTTGAAGCTATTTCTAATTATGAAGACGACCTCTGACTTATAGCAAAAGAAACAAGACTGTAAAGACAAGCAATGCAGATTGGTATGTATCTTTGGCAGATTTGCCTGGGATGTTTTCTGAAGTATCAGTTTTTCTCTTACAGTCGCAGGCCAGTAGGGAGCTTTGCTTCGCTGCACAAACACTTCTTGCACCTTTTTAGTTCAACTTTTGAAGTAGACACCCTTGAAAAAGGTATGCGTGTAA